GATTAATGTTCTAAAGAAAAACACACTGTATGTATACCTATGTACTCAAGAAACTGTATCATTGCCAAGTTATTTTGAGATTTTCACTAGACACTTTTACAAAATGCAACAAGTGTGGATAAGTTTATCGAACGCAATTGGATGACCACAACAAGTTTTTGAACTTTTAAGAGTGAATGTAGAAAAAATTTATAAACTCACCCAGCATTTCGACAACATGCTTCGCTGCCTGGCAATTTCTGGAAAAATTCTTCCTCCCCTCCTCCTCTAACACTTCGCACTCCTGCAAATGTGTCTGAGTCTTTTTGGAAACAACAGTCCTTGCGGACTTATAAACCTTGCGCTTCATCCTGACACTACCCCCTCGAGCATTTCGCAGGGAAGTTTCGCGCAATTGCACCCCAATCAGGATATACAAAACAGTTATCAGAGTCATCGGCGCCACGAAAAACAAAACGGTGGATATTTCGAAAGCGTGTGGTATCAAAGTTCTCTTCACCATGCAGATGCAGTGTTCTGCCACCACTTGGTCGTTGAATACTTCGCAGACGACACCAAAAGATATGGCCTGCGGGATGGCCAGACATGTGGCTACTATCCATATGTAGACGATGTATTTGATGGCTCGGTTGAGTTTGGACAGTTTATGTGAGAGGAACGGGAAGCAAATAGCGACGTATCTTTCGATGGTGAAGGCTGTTATGGTTAGGACAGTTGCGTTGGCTGATGTTTCGGCTGCGAGTCCCTGGAAAGGAAAGAAAACTGAAAAAATTCAGAAAATCGATCTAATTTCATATTTGATCAGTTGCAGTTGGGGTACCTCAGGGCTCTATCCTAGAACCGATATTGTTTATATCATGTAAACGCTGTCTTAAAAAAGTGCATTTTCAGTTTTCTCAAAAAATATTCATCTTTTTATCAATTTCTATTTTGTCCTCGTATACAAAATTTTACGTGTAACTTCTACACTCAGTCTATTATCAATTATGTTAAATGAAAATAGAAAGTCCTCTTCTTATAAGTCCATCATTTATCACAAATGCCTCTGCAATTTTCTATTTTTTCCTATCAATAAATGATGCTAACTAGATATGAAATTGATATCAAAAATCGCAGTAGAAACATTTTCAAGAAATCGATCTGAACATGAATATTCGAATACATATATTTGGATTCTGTCTGTTGACGAACAAACACCAAACAAAAGAAACGAGTTTTTTATTCGAACTTCTGTATTCAGCGAAATTTCATACTTCTGAAGCCATCAAACAGAAGAACTTTTCATATCTGACGTATGTTCCATTATTTACTTTTCACACGAACATTCATAAGAATTGTTCGTGACAGGTTTCAGTTTGGAATTAGAAATGTCTACGCATGGAGTAAACAAAGTGGGAATTTCAACAATCATCCTAGTTTTCTGTCATTGACGTAAAATACCTAGTTGGCGGGAAACGATAAAAATTACAAATTCCTATAATATATTCTAATTTTCATGTATTATTCGTGTATAATTTGATGTTTGTATAAAATTCGTTGTTTCAAAAGTACTTATTCTTTCGTGTGATTCGATGTTTATGTGAAAGAAGTTGTTTCCAGAGGGCTCTTCTATGCACCATGTCTTCGTAAATAGTTCATTTTGAGGTTTTTTTTTCTCTGGAATTTTCCACAACTTCTTGTACAAGTATGAAGAAGTGGAAACTAGAAAGCTTTTTTTCCTAAAACTAATCTTTCCAAATAATACTCCTTTCTATACCCAGCCATATAAAGAAAAAAGAATCAGCATATAAAAACTATAAGAAATATAAAACAGCATTTTATCAAAATCAATTCTCGAATCTGAGAACTGTCAAAACTAAAATAAAAGCAGCATATAGTCAATTTACAAACTTAGCTGAAAATAATATTTTATCTGACAGCTCGACTTTCTGGTGTTTCATACACAGTAAAAAAGGTCATTCGCGTATACCGGGTATAATGAAACTTGATGATGAGGTATTTGATAAGCCTGGGGATATTGTCAATGGATTCG